CACAGGCATCAGCAGGAACGCCACTGAGGCCCACTTTCTTCAAGCACTCCTCATCAGACACTTCATTTCCTATCAAGTTAAAGAAACACTGGTTGAATATTTAAAGAGAGAAGGAATTTTCTTCCTAAATAATGCAAACAGAAATCAGTAAGTAATTCTGGCAACTTCAGACACTGTATATTAGAATACTACAGATTAGATGGAACAAAAATAAAAGCATTTCCAAGTATAATAAATACTTAAGGTCTAGGGTTTTTCCTAAGTAATTCATAATAAACGCTTATCAATTAGAGGAGAATGGAGTATACCTTCTGCTTGCCATGCATATTACAGTTACTAGAAATCTAATATAAACTATAATTATTTAAACTTTTTATTAAGGAAAATTTCAAACATGCAAGAATCCCAAATTTATGTAATTACTAATGTTTTGCATTATTTTATCAATATTCTTGTCCATTCCCTGCCCCCCAAGCTTTTTGGAGGAAAGGGAGAAGAAGGAATTCCCAGACAACGTACTTTACCCATAAACTCTTTGCCATCTGTCTATGATACATATATTTTTAAGAAACTGACATCATATCATCCAACCAACAAAATCAACACTAATTCCTTAATATCATCTAATAACAGAGTACATGCTCAAGTATCCTCAGCTGTCTCAAAATTGTCTTTTTATAGTTGATTTATTTGAATCAGAAACCAAAAAAGGTCCACATACTGCATTTTGCTGCTATACATCTTAAGTCTCTAACAGTTCTCTCTGATTTGTATGCTGCTTGTTGAAAAATTACCATCACATTGACATAACTACATCCTTTCTCTCCCTGCCTTGCTTATTAGTTTCTCCACCTCCCCCTCTTATTTTATTTTTTTGGTAGGATGAATTTCAGAAGCTCCCAGGATCTAACATTCACCATTCTGCATATAACTATTACTATAATATAGACCAAATACTAATAAATGTTGGTTAAGAGTGTTTGTTTTAAATCTGTTCTACATTTATCGACTGAAAATTTTTTTTATTATTAAATGTATTGAAATTTGAATTGTTTTCAATGAAAGATGATAAAAATTAAAGTATTTCTTTGCACAACCCACCCCTGAAACTAAACTTTATTAAATTTTATTTATAAAAGTGTTTATTAGAACTAATAAATGAATTCAGTAAAGTTGCAGGATACAAAATTAATACATAGAAGTCTATTGTGTTTCTATATATACTAATAATGAACTCTCAGAATGAGAAATTAAGAAAACAATCCCATTTAGTATTTCATCAAAAAGAATAAAATACTGAGGAATAAATATAAGGAGGTAAAAGACCTGCACTCAGAAAACTCTTTAAGACACTGACAAAACAAACTGAAGATGACACAAACAGATGGAAAGATATACTGTGTTCATGGATTAGAAGAATTAATGTTGTTAAAATGATCATAACTACACCAAAGGCAATCTACAGATTCAATGCAATCCCTCTACCAAAATACCAAAGGCATTTTTCGCAGAACTAGAATAAAACTAAAATTTGTATGGAAACAAAAGACCCCAAATAGCCAAAACAATCTTGAGAAAGAAGAACAGAGCTGAAGGAATCATGTTCCCTGTTTTCAAAAGCTATACTCATTAAAGCAGTATGTTAAGAGATTAATCCTAAGAGTTCTCATCACAGGGAAAACATATTTTTATTATCTCATATGTATCTATATGAGATGATGGATATTCACTAAATTTACTGTGATAATCACTGCATGATGTATGTAAGTTAAATCACTGTGCTGTAGACCTTAAACTTATACAGTGCTGTAAGTCAGTTATATCTCAATAAAACTGGAAGAAAAAAAAAGTGTCAACATTTTAAAGGAATAAACTTTTATACATTTATGTAGCTGATACAAAATACTGCTCTGATTTTTAAAATAAAAATTTGGAGTTTATTCTCTATTTTCTTGATTTTCTAAACTCTACTTTTTATACTTTTTTCCTTATGTGATATAAGTAATGCATATTCTTGGTAGAAACTTTAAAAAAAATAAACGAAGGCAAAAAAAATCAAAATTAGGCTAATTATTATTATTATTTATGGATAATCACTACACTTTGGCATATATATTTTACAGTTTTACTTATATAAATGATATATACTTATTACTAAATGCATATACTATTTTAAGGATTTTATATTATCTTCAATTTCTTTCCCAATAGCCTTATGAAGTTTGATTTGTGTTTATACTATAAGTAGGAAAACTAAGGCTTAGAGAAGCTGCTTAAGGTTGCACAGGTAATAGTAAGTACAGCTGGGATTTGTTATATGTTCCATTAAAATTGTTTTCTTCTTACAAAAACTGGATCATTTTCTATCAAAGGTTCTATAGTATTTTTCTCCACTGAATCTTCACATGTGATTCAAAGGCTATTCCTGAAGTCCCCAGATCACGTGCTCCCAAAGCATCCCTGTGCTTCTTCTTTTGAGGCCCATATTGTCCTTGTAAATATTTATCTCATACATGGTTTATAGTTATTATGTATTTTAATAACTTTTCATTACTGATATTCAAAAATGTTGACATCATTAGACTGTAAACCCTGTAAGCAATAAGTCCCAGCAACCAGTTCCAAGTATGCATAGAGGAGACACCTGATAAATATACTTGCTTAATGCTAAAGTGAAACACTTGTGACATGTGACCATGTCAAGGAATATATATTACAGCATTGTTTTTAATGGTTGCATAAATCTATTTTTGCAGGATATTTAGGTGGGTTCCTTTTTCCCCTCCATTATTGGCATATTTGTTCAATTTCTTTCCTGGAAATGGAATCTGGGGAGTCAAATCTATGTACATTTTAATAATAGCAAAATATATTCAGAATGTACTTCCTATATATCAGAAATCTTCAATCCATTATTATGGCTGAAAAGAAGGATACCAACCAAGATATGCCACTTCTTTCCAGCATAGGCCCATTTCTTTTCTCCATTCATCTACAACTGCAAGCTTGTCTGGTACACTGACTTCCATTTTGCAATCCAGTTTTAAGGAAGAGAGAGTCTGCTTTGAACAGGCCCTTTCTGAGATTAACCTCACCTTAAGGAAAAAAAAAAAAAAAAGGGCAAAATGAGAAAACAGAAATCTCTCATAATAAAATAACACCTTTTAAATAATACAAAGCACAAGTGAGTAGTCTGAAGGACTAATTAAGTAAAATCAACTAATTTATTTTAAAATGATGAAGCTTTAACACATTTGATTGCTAGTAGTCCAATAAAGGTGAAAGACTGTTTTCTACAGTGGAAAGGATTCTATCTACAGGTAAAAAATAAAATATACGTTGTCTGATAACAATCTAAGATTCTCCAATAATTCAATTTATTCAGAGGAAAGTCTAACTTGTCTCTCATGCTGCTCAGAAACACGTATTTAAGATTTCTAGTGAATCCTAAGAAATCATCTTAAACTTCATTTTTGAAAATACACATAAGTATTTTTATTTTGAATTAAAATTTTCAGTCATAAGAATAAGCTACATTTAAAAAATCCACCTGAGATTTGCTTTTTTCCAAATGCTGACACCTATTTTCTGTGAAATCTTTCTGGTTGCAAGATCCTATCGGAAATACTAGATAGCACCTACTATCATACTCATTAAATAAATAAGAAATATTATTCATTGATAGACAAATTACTAATTCTACTCATCTAAAAGTAAATAGCACAATTTTCTAGGCATGTGAAAGCTAAATTTCAGATATTTTAATTGATAATACTAAAAACGTAAATCTCTTATTTTCCTCACATGTTCCTTGACCTTAAATCACAATCTTAAAAAGCACTGCTATGTTCAGGGGGCACATACCTCAATACCACTTTTCTTTAATAAACTTATCCCAATAGCATCTTTTATATCATACGATATTATTTCTTTTTGGTCTCCTGATACATAAATGTGGCCATTGGTTAGACATCCATCAATATTGCAAACGAAAAGTTTTATCTCCTTCAGCTTCTCTTTGCCAAAATAGCCAAATCTAAAAGAAACCAAAATAGACTTCTGAATTTTAGTGTGATACTAATCTCTCATCTGGCTAACACCAGTAAACTTGATAACCCGTTTCCATTTAATTACTCAAACATTACCTTTCCAAGTAACCTCACATATATACTTCAGCTTACAGTGCAAGGATTTTAAGTGTGGTCTAACCAGATTATGTGCTTCTCAAGTTACTGAATAAGCCATCTATAGGCATATTTTATGTATATGTCTTCCTCACATAAGCAAAATAATTAACAAAAGATCCTAAGATTGGAGGATCAAAAATCAGTTGTCCACAAGTGAATTTAAATGTATCTACTAAAAATCATTCATTGTGGTCTAGTGCAAAGGCTATACAATCTTGTTTTCACCTTAAAACTCTTTGTTCTGCAATAGGCCAGTCAATGTCCACATCTATGTCCACACTGTGCTCGGCTCGCATCTCGTAGTAGGCCATTTTCCCACCCTAAAGATAGCACAGGTGCCATGAGGACTGTTGTCAACATGCATTCACACATATCAAAAAGTTTATTACAATACAGAACAATGAATCCACTTCTATAGTACTAAGAAAAATGAATAAGCCAGTAATACCAGACATACAACAAATAATTTCTTTTGGAGGGGAGAGCTTATTGTTTTCCATATACTCAAACCACATAAAACAAACAACCTTGACATTTTTCAAATTCTATTTACAAAGTGCAAGTTCCCATTTTTCTTTAAATAGATTTTAAAGACTGAAACAGTAGAAATAATATGCATCCTCCAGTATTCTGACCACAAGGAATTTTCTGGGAATCCCTAATTGTATCCCCTTTGTTCTGGTAGTCTCTCCCATCATCATCCAAAAGCAGTAGTATAAATGTTTTTGGAACTTCTGTTCCTATTTGCAATAGTGGTAAGATTGGGGAGGAAAAGGAACTGTAGTATCTACTGTACAGAACTGCCTTAGATCCCTGAGCTACAGATGGGAGTGAACAATAACTGTCTGGGTCACATGTGGGCAAAGGTCGGAACAGTGTCATGATCCTGGGGTATGGGGCAAGAGGAGTGAGGCCTTTCCTGATTGTAATCATTTGAAGGTCAGTATCAATCACTAGAAATTTTCATTTTTCAGAATTGTCAGTCTCTTTACAAATCTTGTTACAATGAGAAACCTACTTTTCTCCACACTTTAGGAAAGGGTCAAATCACAGTCCCCCTTAGCAAAGAGCTTATGGAGGGTGGTATCTATAGATGTCAAGTCTAATTTTCCTGAATACTCAAACTTAACTGAACAGCCAGTCTACAGTTCGCCTACTGACCAGAAGATTGGAAATTCCTTCCCCTTAGAGAATGAGTCACATTAGAATTTTTACTATAAAGAATGGAGTTCGGGGGTTCTTAAATGCTATTTTTTGAGTAACATAAGGACCTGAATCCAAATCCTAACAGTGCCATTCACAACTTGTTTTTGCTTTGAGCCAATTGCTTCATTTTTCAGAGCTGCCATTTCCTCCTCTGAAGCAGAACTAGGAACACCCCTTTTATTCCTTTATATAAGATAACCTATGTAGTATTTCATATAGTCCTGGGCCCACAGTAAATGCTGAATAAAGAATAGCCATAACCAAAATGAACAAATAGTATATGATGTAACCACACAGGCTCTAAAGATGAGAGAGACATCCAACTCCCTTATTGTAAAATGAGAGCATTAAAACTCAGAACAGATAAAATGATATATTCAAGGTTAAATAGTTATAGAGATTTTACTATATATTCCAGTTTTCCTGATGCCCAGGTTGGTGCTCTTTCACCTCTACTATACTGTTGTGTTTTTTGTCTCTTTTCAAAGTAATAAAGGTTATTCAACTGTACAACCACAACTTGACAGTAATACAACTATGGATTAAAAACAGAGTTTTGAATAAAATAATCTGAATACCAGGACACATATAGAACATTCAATACTTGTTTCATTTCTTATCTTAATGTTACAATTGTAGCAGAATCTTTCCCATATTCACTGAATGAACCCCAAAGATCATTTTGGGGTAAGTGTGCAGGATAAATGCCTCAGATCATAAATCTTGTCAGTTACTGCTTTTCCCCTAGGGGTTCCTTTATGTGCCATACTTCTTTCTTAGAACTCAAAGTATATAGATAAAAGGGTTTGAAAGGGTTTTGCAAAATGAGGGCACAAACCTGTAAGTAACCCATCTCTATCAAATGTCTTTTAGCAAAATAAAACGAGCCATTTTCATATAATTCTCCATCCCAGTCTTGTCGACGAGGTCGTTTAGCTGGATTCAAATTCAGAGGCTCAGTCATTTCACGAACTAAAAGCAAAAAGCTACAGTAAGTCCCAGGTGCTTTGAACATTGAAAATGTTCATTCAGTAATTTTTTTAAAAAGCAAATAAAAATGAACTCAGAAGGCAGAATATTTCTGTATCTAAATAAACAATTTAAAAGATTTTTTTAAAGAAACAAAACCTCTAATAATTCTGATGATTTATCTTTGCTTTTCAATAACAATAATAAGAGAAAAATAAGGTATCTTACAGAGAAATTCTGAGTAATTAAAGTTTTAAGCTATTTGTACAAATATAATGCTTTGGGAGGACATAAAGGCAACCTTAAAATAGTTTCAAAAGAACTGAATTTGTTATAAAGTACCCATAATTCAATATTTGAGCCCTTTAAATCTACTGCTCACTATGTGCTTCTATAGAAATACAATGTATGTGTTATTTATCTAATGTGGTTGAGAAATTACTCTCATGGAATTATTACAGAAAAATGAATACTTCCCCACTAAATTACTGAAACTTTCATATTGATAGAACTGCTTATATAATGTATGATACATTCTTACCAGTAGTTAAAAAAATACTAATATAAAATATACATAATAAATAAATAATGTTTACTTATTATTATTGTTGGTAATAATGAAGGCTGAGCAATACCAACATTAATGATTATAACATGATATAATAAATGAAGCCTTCAGTATTGGTATATAGGAATTCCCTTGGCTTTCCACTAAGTTTTTGCCAAATTTGTGTTTGTGGATGTGTATGGATACTTTTTGAACTTTTTAAACTTTAATCATATATCATATAAAGCTCAATATTCAGTTTAACACTGGGCTTCCTTGATTTGTTCAAAAATGTGTTTTACAAGCTTTAATCTTTCCTATATCTTATTTCTGATATTTCGTGAATAAGTTCAAAATATTATATGTATAAAACTTAACATAGAACTTGCTACAGAGAAGACACTCAATAAATGCTTACTGAATGAAATCAATAAATTTAGTCATTGATATACTGCATTGATTTTGATAGCATTCATATTTAGAGGCTGAAAAATCATCATTTTCTGCCTATAACTGTATCTTCTTATCTTAATTGCTCTTTTGTGGACCTTCTCCATTTTCACTGCATCTTCCCCTCTCCTTTAAGTCAAACATAGGTTAGAGACCAGCTTTCCTACATTCAACACATGTCAGGGCATTGAAGAGCAATCACACTGCCTTTCTTCAAGTATGTTACATTTACCTATTTGTTGGTGATTCTATTCTTTATTACAGATTTTGCTACTTTACCTGGCTAGAAATCAGGCTCTAGCTAAACGTTATGGAACTCTTTTTGCACAAGAAGTTACAAATTTTGGGAAGCAATTCCACAAATTCATTCTTGAGGTTCTCCAAAACTTTTTGATGGAAGATTTCTGTTCCCACAATTCTATGATTTATAGGGAGTTTATCAAACAAGTCTAGAACAACATAAAAGTATTTGCTCTAGAAAAATGACATGTCTTCCTCAAAATACAAACAGAGGGTTAAAATAATCCTTTGTAAAAAGTAATTTGGTAGAGAATTAATTTGGTCTCATTGTTTTGCCTCAATAATCACAAGATTTAGAACACATTATAAATGTTATTACCTACTAGAGTTAAGAATCCCATGTTCTATTTTACTGCTCCCTTTTTACTCTCCCCACTCCTAAAGAATATTTACATATGAAAAGTTAATTCTCCATAAAATGAGCTAAAATAAAGATTGATACAACAGATTACCTCCTTTCTGAATTTCACCCCATCGAAACTGATGGCGTCTCACAACAGAGAAAACAGAATCATATCCTTCTTCTCGAATCATTTCTGCAACTTTCTGAAGATCCGTAGGATGTAAACACGGAGAAGTAGCTTGAATATTTCCTACAATGTCAACCTCTTAAAAAGACAAGACAAATGAAAAGAACATCAAAATAAAGTTCTTTGCAAGCAAGTAATACTAAGATCCAAATTCAAATGTTAAAACAAGTCTTGTGAAATGATAGGCAAGTTGGAAATTATGTAAAATTTTGAATAAACTATTAGTCAAACTCATACCATTGTGATAATTAAGAAATTCTATGATGGCATCTAGTGAGGTAGAACTGTCTTTTGAAGCTTCAGAACTTCTTCGATGAACTTGTGCACCAAATTGTTTGGCCACATTCTCAATGTCATCATGGTCTGTTGAAACCCAAACACTGTACAGATATTAAAAAATAAAAAGCCAAATCACTAAAAAAAAAATCATTAAAGATAAAAAGGAGCTCTGCAACCCCAAAAATACAGCTTACATAATGTTAGAATCGTTTTTGTACCAGCAAAATGATGTTACAGACAGAAAGTAATATAAAATTTAAAGAAAAATAAAGTATTTTCTATGTAAACCACATTTTAAAATGTCTGAATCAAAAATGTGGTCCTAGATGTAATATTTATATTTACATATATAAATATTTATATTATATATAACATATTATTTATATACATATTGTTTACATAGCCCTAGATACAGTTTTATAAAATTAGAAAAAAATGATAATTGGTATTATTGAAGCTACTGGTATATTAAAGACACTAGTAACACTAGAAGTTCAAATCTAAAGAAAATAAAGAAGATACTGCTTCTCATTCCCCATCAAAATCCAAAATATTGTGTATTTAATATACTTGCTAAGAAAAAAATGGATTTGGCTTAGCCAAACCACAACACTGAAAGAGTTTCAAGCTTAGTAGAGACTAAATGCCCAAAACAATCAGACAAGCCAACTCTTTTTTTTTTTTGCCAACTAACAATGGGTATATAAATATCTGAACATAGAATCAAGTGGGTAAAGCCACCGATAACAATTAAAGATGTGGAGAACATGACTTGATTGGCTCAGGAGAGCTTAGTTGAACAGCTCTATTAACCACAGCTTACAGAGTTGACTATTTGGACTTTATAAGACGACGACTAAGAGTAAATTATAAAACATTATTTGGGGGTGTGTACTAGTCTGTACTGAATTGTTTCCTTGACCTTTACAAATCCCCACTGCTAGAAACAGAAGATGTATTACTCTGCAATATGTGGGCCTCTCACTGCCGTGGCCTCTCCCGTTGCCGGACGCGCAAGCTCAGCGGCCATGGCCCACGGGCCCAGCCGCTCCGCGGCATGTGGGATCCTCCCAGACCGGGGCACGAACCCGTATCCCCTGCATCGGCAGGCGGACTCTCAACCACTGCGCCACCAAGGAGGCCCCACAATGTTTTTATAGTGACATTACACAAAGAAATCTGAATGACTTCTTTGGTATATGCATATACAGTTGACCCTTGAACAGCACTGGTTTGAAGTGTGTGAATGTTTTTCAATAAATGTACTGGAAAAATTTTAGAAGGTCTGCTGAAATTTGAAAAAAATTGCAAACTGTGTAGCCTAGTAATATTGGAAAAAATAAGAAAAAGTTAGGTGGGACTTCCCTGGCGGTCCAGTGGTTAATGACTCCAGTGGTTTCGATCCCTGGTTGGGGAACTAAGATCGCACATGCTGCGAGGCATGGCCAAAAAATAAACAACAACAACGTAATTAAACCGGCCAAGATGACTAAGTATAATACCACAAAAACGCAAAAAAAAAAAAAAAGGTATGCCATGAACGCATAAAACATATGTAGATAATAGTCTATCCTTACACAGACAGTGATATTTAATATAAAGTTAACAATGTTTTACTTTTCTGTTTAACTCTGCCCATCATCACAGGTAAGTGGTTTTTTTAAAAGATGGAACAATGTTTCTGACACTGTATTATGAATATGACTGTAATACTATATGCCATAGAAATTTTATGATTCATTCATTAGTGTATAGGCTAGGCTACCGTGAAGCAATCATACTGATTACAACAGGCTACCATAAAGCAATCACACTGTTGCTTCTCTGTTATCAATGCCCGAATCATTATACCTGTAAATAAATATGAATTTCTTTTTCACATTATCTTTTCATTTTTGATGTTCAGTGTTAGTAATATGTGTAACATCTACAGTGTTTTGTATCATATGACAATATTGATACTGACAGGTGATTCATCTTGTAAACAAAGTAAACTTATGATATTGATATAGTGCAGTACTGTAAATGTATTTTGTCTTCCTTATGATTTTCTTTTCTCTAGCTTACTTTATTGTAATACACTATACAATACATATATATTATAAAATGTGTTAATAAAAATAAATAAAACATAAACAAAATAAAACATAAAACTAAATAAAACATAATGTGTTTCAGATATGGAAAACTCATGGGGAGAGGGAAAGGGGGAGGGCCAATATAGGGGTGGGGAAAAAAAAGGGTTATTATGGGATTACATAAAATCATGTGTGAAACTTTTGAAAATTGTAAAGCACTACAGAATTTAAAGAATCTTTCTGTCAATTAAAAAAATCAATTAAATTTTAAAAACATAATGTGTTTATGTTACTGGTAAGGCTTTAGGGAACAGTAGGCTATTAGTAGTTAAGTTTTGGTGGATCAAAAGCTAATCTGGGATTTTTGACTGCCCGGGGTGGGGAGTTGACACCCCTGACCCCACATTGTTCAAGGGTCAACTCTATTTCTTTTACCCCTTTCATTCAGTATCTCCTGAATGAATGAGAACCTGCATGTTTCAAATGTCTATGCTCAACTGTCAAGAGTGAAAAGAGAGAAACTAAAGAAAAATTTCTAACATCTCTGGCTTTCATTTATGAATTTAATTTCATTTATTGCCTTTACTATTGGCAGATGATTTAATAGAGATAAAGTCAATAAACCCCCATAGTGCCCCCCAATTTTTTTTTCAGAGGAAACCTAGTAAACAAGATGAGCCATTGGCTAGGAGTCAAGTGTGTCATACCTACTCATGTCATTCTGCGCAAGGCACAACATAGGAGCCCTCATTTTCCTCCATCTCAAAATCTGAAATAATTTTGGAATAAGTTTTTCACTGGAAAGTGTCACAAAGTTATATAACAAAGTGAAGTACCAACAAAAATGTAGTGAATTTTTTAAAGAGAGGATAAAAGGAGGGTGGTGATGGTAACACGGTAAAAAAGTAAACAGTAAAAGAAAGAGATGAGTCTTTTGACATCTGGTTTCCATCACTAATTGAAATAAATTACTGAAGCCATTTACTTTATTAACCTGATCTTTACTGTAATAAACATTCAACACCTCAGGATTCAGTGATCTTTTGGAAATGCTAAACAGTAAATAAGAAATAACAGAGGTTGGGAAGAGGTTTGCCTGTGTTTCATCTTTCCTCCCTTTTATTATTCATTCATTCCTTCATTCATGAAATGATTCCTGACTGCCTATTCTGTTTCAGGCCCTACTCTGGACACCGGGATATATAATCCATTTTCTTGAGAAACTCTCAGCGGGTTGGTAGAGACAGCGAGAGGTCAGGAAGCAATAACTAACCTTTCTACAATGCTTTACTTTTTACAAGGTATTTTTATAGTGCCTGCTACATAACAGGTGCTCAGTTTGTTGAATGAATGAAACAGTAGATGGTTAAGAGCATGGACTCTGAAGGAAGGGCTTCAAATCCCGGCTCTACCACAAGCTAGCTATATGACTCTAGGTCAAATCTCCCTAAGCCTCAATTTTCAGTAAAACGGAGGTAATAGTAGTAATTACCTAATATGATTGTTATGAGAATTCAACATAAACCACAATACAGAATAAACGTTTAATAAGTGTTAGCTATTGAAAATAATAAAATAGGAATGGCAATAAAGGAACAGCTACACAGTCTCATTTAATCCTCACACTGACTCTGCTGGAAGGAAAACTGAAGTTTTGCTTTCAGACCTTCAAAGGTCCAAATGTCTAATTTGTATGTATTATGTAAGGCAATGGCATTATGAATATGAAAATAGCATCTTATAGGTACACTTAAAATACAATCATCATCATTTATTAGAAGGACTAAGTTAGTCAATCATTCTCCCTTGGTTTAGGGGCATCAGATGAGGCAGGGCAAAAGAGAAAGAATGAGCAAATGAACAAACAGGGCTAATAAAATTTAAAATCAAGTATAAAGTAAATGTCAAAGTTCAACGCCAATGGCTTTAAATTTAAAATCAAGTATAAAGTAAATGTCAAAGTTCAACGTCAATGGCTTTAGCCTCAGATGAAGTCATACTACATCTAACAGGATGAACAGGAGTATCAACCATGATCCCTACGACAGAAACTTCAAATCATAAACTGCCATTTCAAGGACAACGTAGCATGGCCTTTCATTAATCATAAATCCACACCCTAGAAATGAAACCAAAACTTATGTTTATCTTTCACATTAGGCAACATTTTAAAAAATCAATTTACTCTGAGATTCACTTACACAGCACTCAACCACTGTTGAAACCAAGCTCTTCAAAACTCAGCTCAAACAATAGCTTTTTACTAAATGAAAATATTATCTCAGCATTTTTCTTGACTGTTAACTCTCCAAGTTAGTGTGCAAAGTTAGCAACCTTGAAAGTATCGTTAGCTTTGATTCTAAGCAGGCCAGAAACTCAATTAAGTCACAATGATTTTGAACAAAATAATCTTCAGGCCTGAAAAACACAAATCAGGCAAGCTACAGTTTTCCCCAATTCCTTCATAGGGTACATATTTGTTGAAGGAGGCAGAAGGGGAGAAGCAGGAAGGCTGCTCCAAACTGACTGCAGCTTCAGAATAAGTCAATTAAATTCAAATCTACCCCTTCTGGGTGGTAGGTTAGAACTCAAAGGGCAGAGAGGGATGTATAACTGCAAGCTTTCTAAATTAACTGTTTTAAGAGGGCATCCAGGGGCTATCTGCCAGAGAACATAGGTAAATTCTCCCGGCAGCACTGAGCACGCATTCTCGGGGGCTGGGATCATCCTAAGAACAAGGCCTTAAGCTGCTAGAAACCATGACAGAGTTTGGTTGAACACAGAGGTTTGGATGGAGTTGTTTGTTATGTGTGGAAAGTTTTGCCGTTCTCAGCAAAACTACCCGCATACCATAAGGGGAGAGCCTATCGAGAGGAATCAAGATATAGAGGATTATGGTGACCAACTGCACTATCCCCTTACTTTCTTTTTCTTAAAAATATGTATTATCACCTGGTACAGTATACACTGTTTATATATTAACTGTCTTCTCCCTATTATAATGCAAGCTCCACCAGCCTAGGGATGGACCCTACTGCTATAACCCTTGGTTAAAGACACCTAACAGTGCCTGTCACATAGTAGGTAGTCAATAAATGTTTGCTGAACGAATGGATCATTTTTGCTCTTGAATCTGTATCTCAAACAAGCCCTACCTTTTTTTGTTTAGCCAGTTTGAAAGGGGTTTCTTGACATACGCAACTGGAGTTGTAAATGCGGTCTGTTCTCAATCTATTATGAATGTGATTTTCCTCTCTAGTTTATGTCACAAAAATAGGATTTTACTACATCACTACTAACTGGATGCACCTTCTCTCGGTCCCTTTTTTTTTTTCCCCAGTGTGTACCCTTTGTAAGGAGGTAAATATGTCCAAAAGTCTGTGAGCTTAACACGGAAAGAACCATGTCACACACGTCTTGCTGTTCCCTTGGATGTGTATGGCAGAAATTAGGGTTCAGTGTTTACTGAACTGAACCAAATCCCCCAGTCTTTCTTTATCACTCCTTTGCACACTTCCTGTTACATTACTGTTATATTCTGTGTGCCAGGTCTTATTTACCTTGTACCACCCAGGACTTCCTTTGGATAAAAACATTAAGAAAATTAGTAAATTTATACTTTTTTGGTACCTCCTTTGTAAACAAGAACAGTTAAATGAAAATCATTTATCCATATACTAATGTAGGTAATTAATATGCTCCAAAAACAGCCATCTCTTTAAAAACCAAAACCCAAACATCAAAAGGTGAGAAAATACTTTCCACGGTAACAAATTCAAGCATAATTAGGTTGAAATTACCATGTGTAAGTTCATTCTTGGCATAGAATTCTATCCCCCTTCTTTTATGAATGACATAAGCCTGTAACTCCTGGCCAATACGGCATATGGCCATGTCTCTAAATGATGCACAATTAAAACTGTCCTTAGGACAAACGAGGTTCCAAAGATATGATCAAACCATTTATAAGCATTTCATCAAACAGTCCAGCGGTGCGGTTTTCCACTCTCGCACCTACATACAAATGTGGGGAGCTGTCTAGATTGTGCTGACTCACAGGCAGATAGCTTAGAGTATTTTCCAAAGGTCAGGAAAGGATCTCCAAGCTGAGCTTGAAATGAGAAAAGCCTTGACAGCCCACTCCATTCATGAACCCGAGGCCTCCTTAATCGATCAGCACCAGGTGGGTATCAGACGCCGGGCAACAGGGGAAAGCCAACGGCCACTGCCTAAAGGAGTTCACAGATTATCGCAGACGTTTCACAAGGGTGGACTCATTTCCTTTACCCTGCGAGGTCAACCCGGGCAGCGCAGACAGTAGAGAAGAGGAAATCTCCCCCTTTACGGATGTTATTCTCAAGGGCGGAGACAGGAACGGTCCCAAGTTCATGGCTATTAGCAGCTACGGAACAAGGAAGAAGCTGGAGCCCCTCCTCCCCCGGCTGCCAGCCGGGGCCCAGACACCCCGGATCTTGCACACCCCTTCCGGGGGCGATTGCCCCCCGGAGCCCCTGCCCCTCCGGCGGCCCGGCTCCCCCTCACGACCCCCGCCCAGGCCGCACCGCCCACTCTCGCACATGCGCACCTCTGGAAGACCCCCGAGTCCAGGGCCGCACGCAGGACCCAGCCAATGAGCGGGACCCCCGCCAGGTGCTTAATGTTCTTCAGGGGGATGCCCTTGCTGCCGCCGCGGGCCAGGATTAGGGCCGCCAGGTGCGGGGGCTTCTCCACACCTCGGCCCTGGCCGCCGCGGGAGTTGCGCTGCAGCTTTGGCGGCCGACCCCGGGAGGGCCGCCCCCGCGGGTTGGAGACGGAGGTGGCGGCCCCCTTCTCCACCGAGTCCATCTTCCTCCCACGCCTTCTCCCCAGCTTCTCCACATCCGGGAGCTCTTGTCTCGCCACCTCAGCTCGGCGCCGCCCGACCTCCCCGCCCGACCGCTCGCGGGGGTGGCTGTTCCCAGCCCCGCCCACCGCCACGTCCCCGCGCCCTCGCGGGGCACGCCGGGAATTGTAGTCCGCGGGTCGCTCGCAGGGTCCCGGAGGCCCAGTAGGCTCTGCCCGGGCGACCCCCAAGTCCAAGCCTGGCACGGAAAGGCCAGAAATTCCTGGAAGGAAGTGTAGCTTCTGGGGGGCTTGATATTGTATGGAGATTAATAAAATAGGCAACACAGGTTACCGATCTTTTGCTGAAGAACTTCTCCATTTAGGAATTGTGGTGGGTTTTCCACGGCACACCTTGGTGCACCCGAACACTAATCAATTTTATATTTTAAAATTTATATTTTAAACATCCGTCTTTCTGCTATGCTTCTTACTCACTGTTCCCGAGAGATGACCTCATTCGAATGTCCTCCAAGCACCTTAAATTCAACATTTTAAAAACAACTCTCCCAGAGCAACCCTGTATTTTTGGTAACCATGTGAGAAGCTCAAATTGCTTCTACCTCTGCATTTTCTTTTTCTTTCTTTTTTTCTTTTAATTGAGGTGTAACTGACATATAACATGTTAGTTTCAGGTGTACAATGTAATGATTCAATATTTGTATGTATTGGGAAATGATCACCACAATAGGTTTAGTTAACCTTTCAACATATCTGTCTGCATTTTCTATCAAATATCACCATCCGTCTGGTGGAAAAACTTGGAAGTCAACCTTGTCTATTCCCTTCTAAGTGTAGTAGACACCTGTTAGTTTTCTTGTTTATGGACTACTGAAAACCTTTTCCTTTCAGGAATTGTCACCTCTCTTACCCGGTGGGTGTTTCACGCAAATCCTCAGCAGTGTAGCAGTGGGTGTGTGACCCAAGCTGATCAACCTAAGTACCTCAGCTTCCTGAACACAGTTGTGGTCTAGGGACAGGCATATGACCAAGCAGAGCCTCTTGGCATCCTTTCCAGAGACTCTGGGAAAGAAAGGATCCTTTTCTTGCTGAATATTTGGGTCCTAAGGACCCTGTAAACCTGAATCCTGAGGGCAGGATGAGGGAAGCGGGGGTGTGGGAGTTTCTGTTCTGAAATTGGCTGGGAGGCTGATGTTCACACAGAAGAAAGCAGGGCCAAGACATGCAGGGAGCAGAGAGAAAGAGCCCCGATGGCATCACTGAAACCTCTTAATCCAGCCAAGAGGTTCAAAGGTGTGCACGTGCGCACACACACACGCACACACATATATCTCTGTTCTGGGGTGTTTTTTTAGGAAGGAATCTCCTACCTAGCATGCGTTTTGTTTTTTCCCACTTTTGCAAGCCTGTATCTGGAAGTAGAGAGTCTCCTTGTCTGTCCCGGGTAAAGGCTATAGTACATCCAGAACCAATGGAAGATAGTGGTACTGCCTCTTCTTCTCAAGAAGTGACAGAAAGCCTTTGTGCTTCTCAGGTCTTGGCTCTTTCTGAAGGAGACAGAGTAAAGCCTTTAGTGTTTGGGGTCCTGGACAGGCCCTGGAAACTTCACGTCTCATCTGTTTGCCTGTGAAATAGCTCAGCCCTTACTGGGACTGGTTCTGGGAGAAGGTGCTGGATGTGGGGTAAGTGTGGCTGTAAACAGACATCCGTGCAGTGCCTGAGGAAGGTGGGCAAACCCCAAGAACCATCCCAGCACTCCAGGCCAAGTGACCACTTTGCCCCCAACGTACTGGCTCATTGACTGGGACCTTCACAGTTATTTTGCTTGAGAGAGAGCAACACCGATTTTTTGGTAACCATGTAAGGAGGACATCTATTGCTTCTTACACACCAAAACCTCTTTTCTTCTTTCCACACCAATAACAATCTTAGTTCCCACTAATAAGATAGTTACCATTCACCACAGTAATTCCCTAGGGGCCCACAAACGCTAGTGGGCCACTGACATCTGAATAGTTTAACTTCTCTGGCATTGGTGTCCTCCAAGCTGGGGACACAGCAAGTGGCACCGCTGTTGCTTATCAAAGGAGATTATAGCAATTTGCGTAAAAGCTGTCAGACTATGGACTCCTCCAGGAGAGGGACTGTTCCTTCTTTGTAATCACATCCAGAGCAATATGTGGGTCACAGTATCTGCTTAGTAAATGGCAGTGAACTACGTCTGATGTTACTTTTCCAGTCTCTGCCCACACATACTTTTTTCTTTTTTTTTTTTACTCTCCGACATTACCATAAACTCATTTATTTAAAAGAAACTGTACGTCCATATCCTGGCTGAACTGGGCATTCATATTATGTGTTAAATGCACAGGAATAGCAAAAAATTAAACCAACTCCATACAAAGCAACTATAAGAACACAAAAACAAAACAAACAAACCAAGAATCATACTTTCAGCTGATGAAGACTCTCTCCCCCAAACAAACCACAAAGTGGTATACTGCCACGCATACTTTTTTATATGGTTGCAGTCTTACAATAATAAAGCATCTTGTATTCTTTGTATTTTTACAGTACAGTTTTGGTGAGACTTGACAACTGGCTGGTCCCAGTCCTGAGAAAGAAAGAGAGAGAGGCAGGGGAAAGGTTAGAAAAAGTGGAAGGTGATTCATCTAATTCAATATATGACACATGGAAGTTTGATAATTTTTTTTTCAATGAAATTAGAATATACTCATTTAATGTATTTTTCTTCTGTGTGGTCAATGGGCATAAAGTTTCAGGTAAACAAGATGGATAAACTCTAGAGATTTGCTGTACAACATTGTACCTATCGTCAACAATAATGTATTGCATAGTTAAAATTTAAGATGGCAGATCTCATGTTACATGTTCATATCACAGTAAATAAAATTTTGAAAAAATGAGAGAGACAATAACTGTGCCAGGAAGAGGAAATGTTAGTTTATCTTTGGGTTACTCTGAAGGAGTTAAAAATAAACTGCTCTCAAAACAAATATTCGGACTCATCCTTTCTTTAAAGATGTGTGTGAAGTGTTGCTGCCAAAGAATAATTCATTTGTATTCATAGTGAGAGAATATATCTTTGTATGACATCTTATTTTATGATTCTGTGTATGAACACACTCAATACACAGAGGAGTCCTTTCATTCATTGATTTGCTCACATTTATTGCATTCCACAAGCCAGGCCTTGTGT